AATCAAAATGTATTATAACCCCAAATCACAAGAAATGCCTCAAAGGGCCACAAAGCAAACAAAAATAAAAATATACGTCATAGCATAACAATTATAAAAACATTATACAACATTATACATCAACATAAGTATTGCCATGTGATAAAAGCATGTGACTGAAGTGATGGTAATGATGAGCCGAAACTAGGTGATGGAAATTAGTTTACAAGGAAGACGGATGCGAAGAGATGGGTTTTGAGTTAGTTTTCAAAGGAGTCAACGGAAATAGCCTCGGGTCTGAAATGGAAGACGATTCCAAAGGAGAAGTGTTCGGAATGAAAAGGTGATTCTGCTGATATTAATGAAATGTGCTTCTTGTGGTTCCTCCCCCTGCTCTCCAGTCTCAGCCTCTCTTCGAGCTCCGATGCTCCAACAACGTGGTTCACGTTCACACCTGTGCTGATTCCTGCGCCGCCCTGGTCAACCTGCTGCAGTACCTCGTCTCGCAGGGGGACCTGCACCCCCCGCCGCGACACACCTCACCCACCGAAATCGCTGGCCAGAAATTACCAGTAAGTCAACAGAGAATTAAAATAGGTTGTTAAGAATGTAGAAATTGCTCGTGACGGTTGAAGGTTTACAGATGTTTAGATGTACATGAGAAAAACGGAATAACATTGTAAAGTTTTAGTATAGCAGCTTGGATAAACATTGCACATTGAACTAGATTTGGAGCACATTTTTTGTTGCATGAGCTACAGTACCTAGCTATGATTTTCTGGCAATTACTGGGCCAGACAGTAGCATACGTTCATGTCATTATGTGATATACATGTTTACAGTTAAAGTTTAAAACAATTTATTTCCATAAAAACATATTTCAATTTCTACAGATGTAAAATATGGTCTAAAAAAAATCTACCACGAAATCTGGAAAACGATGGAAACATTTTTAATAGAAAATGTGTAGGAGCCATGAGAAATAATCTGTTTTTTCTTCCCGTAGGAATTCCTACTTTAAGAATAGATTACTAATTTAATAGTGGCAGTCTTATTATATAACAGTTCCATCAATGTTGAAAAGTATTAGTAAGATGCCATGTCACTTTCTAAATGTTTTATTTGTTTTTCTGTTTTGTTAGCTGTCAGAAAGTCCTGCGGCGATGCTGCCCTGCCCTCCAGCTGAAACTGCAGAGATCAACCAGTACGACCTCGCTGATGCCTTAATCGACACGGAGAAGAGCCACCGAGAAGAGAGCTCAGATCCTGGTACAGTTTCTCTTTTTACACTTTTCAACATCCAAACAGGATTTGATTCAGTGAAATTCTGCAATCACCCATGTTTCCTGGTATAAAGGGAGAGGGTTGTGGGCTTATTTATTTAAAGTGGTTTCATCATGTGCTATAAAACTCTGGTAAAGCTTGACCCATAGAGGAGTGGATTGTCTAAATAAACTGAACCTTTAGGAAGGAAGATAAACATGAAACTGGGCCCCTGTTCTGCCAGATTTCACTAATTCAATAAAAACATAATGATAAACAGTAATAAACAGTATGCACTGTGCCACTGATTCTCAGTGTTTGCTAGTTAAAGTTTATTTTCAGCTTTAAAGGTTTAGTTTGTTGATATGTAGTTCTGGAGTCCTGGTTTGCAGCTCCCTGCAGTATACCTGCAAAATACATTGTTGAAGAATTTTGAAGTAATGGCCATAATTTGTTTTGAATTTGAATTGGGTCTGGAAAGTGATACAAAATAATCTTATTTATTAAATACTTATTAATCAGATTTATCAAAATATGCTTGGAAAAAAGACAACTCTATAAGACCACAGTGCATGAGAAAACTAAAGGGATCGAGTGTAAAGCACAACAATGTAGAGTCTGATCATTTTCTGTGGTCCAATGAAACAATCTCCTTTTATCGGTAGTATATATTATCTAAAACTGAAAAAAAATGTACTTACAGTATTATCATTTTTGATTTACTTATTTAAAATGTTTTCTCTGCTAATTCTTCTACTTTCAGTTTTAGTTCATGGTCATAACTCCACACTGGTCACGTGCACAGGAGGTGTTCATTCTCTATGGAGAGAGTGTTTATAGTACCAATGGTTCTTCTTCCAGGTTCACCCTCCATGCCCAGAGGCTCGCCGGTCTCCGTCTACCTGTTCCCGGGCGAGGCTCCGAAGCGAAGCCCCTCCGTCCTGCTGGTTGAGGACGCTCAGCTTGATGGACTGGTTGCCTCAGCAACAGAGGCGCAGGCAGATATGATGTCCGAGGAAGGATCCGACGGCTCGACCGACAACGATGACTTCTGCATATTGGAGGCCCCTGGGATGGGCATTCCTGTGAGTCTCTGCCTGATACCATGGTCCTGTTGGTCTTTTTATAAAGTCATTCTTACCCATTAGCTCACTTTACCTCAAAGCATATATCCCGTATGTTTACTCACAGGGATGTTACTCTAATGAAATGTATGCGCCTGTGCAACATGATGGTTTAATCTTTAGCACAGTGGCACTGTGGCTTGAGTCAAGAGAATATATTGGATTATATATTGTTGGAATTTTTATTTCAAGTACTTTTATTTTGTTGTATTTGTTTGAGTGAGAGTAAGAGAAGGTCTTGTTACTAGGGGCGGATTTGGAGAAAACGTGAGAGTGAGAGATTCAATATTTTGTTAGAACATACAATTCAGTTTCATATTTTTTTCATGTAAGAAAGGTTACACAGAAAAGAAAATTGGCTGGTCAGACCTTTCAAAAATCAGAAATACGAGTCAGCCCATAAATGTGCAATGGGGAATCTTTATTACTCTGTAATTTGTTACAGCCGCGGGACGGGGAGCCCGTGGTGACGGTGTTGTCCGAGGGCCCCATCAAGCTGAAGGAGAGTCACTTCTCCAGACCCCGAGGCAGCTCAGACCTGCTGCGAGCGCCGAGCCGCTTCCCCGTGCCGCAGAGCAGAGTTGTGCTGAGGGAGATCTCCGTGGTCTGGCATCTCTACGGGGGCAAGGACTTTGGGGGCAAGCCCATGTCAATACATGCCCAAAACACTAACAGGTAACACACACACCAGGCCACAAGTAGTTTCTCAGATGCACAGAGATATAGCTCCTCAAAGAAAATATACCTCAATGGTCATGAGAATGTTTCACCTGTGTGTGTTTGTTAGATTTTTCTCCTTTTATTTGACTCTTCTCTCAACATCTCATGTTCTCTCTGCAGAGGTCGTTCAGCCCCCGCTGGAGCTCGGGGGTCCCCGTCTCGCTCGGCCACCACCTCCCGTCCCCAGAACTCGTGGCGCTGGGCCGGAGGCAGCGGCCGCCAGCACCAACTGTTGATGGAGATCCAGCTCACCAAGGTAGATTCACACATCAGCTACATTGTGATTAAACTGAGAAGATACATAGTTGTAGGTTAGTTTATCTAAATATATTTATTTATTTTGCAAATAAAATGGTTTGACAAAAAACTATCTTAAATTCAAACTTGTGTTTTATTGCAATCAGTTTTTTTTATGGCTGTCAATTGATCAAAATGTGAAAGGGTGATTTAAGGAACCTTTGACAGTTTTTTAAATTCACCTTCCTGCAGGGAAGATTGATACTTCTCTCATATGGAGTCTTTATGCTGAGCTGGCTATACATATTAATCATACAGACATTTAAGTGGTATTGATCTTCTCATATAACTCTTGGTGAAGGATCATCAAACTGTCAAACTAATTAATTTAAATTCAACCTGAAACTAAGCAGTGCTGCTTCCCTTATTGAAATGGCTATACATTTCCCCGTAGTTACACAGCTTCACCAGTTCCAAACAAACACATTTTAACATATAATATTAACCTTCTTCAACACCTTCCTCCTGTTCTGTTCTCCAGGTGTCCTTCCAGCATGAGTCCTACCCAGGGGCAGTAGCAGGGCAGGAGGGGGAGGGGTTCCTGTTGGCTGGCGTGGGTCCCGGGGGCGAGCAGCCCCTCTCCAGACAGGTGTTCATCGTCCAGGAGCTGGAGGTCCGAGACCGACTGGCCTCCTCACAACTCAACAAATTCCTTTACCTCTACACCAGCGAGAGCATGCCGCGCCGAGCCCACTCCAACATGGTGAGACAGCAGAGAGAGGGGGGAGGGGGAGGGGGGGTTGAGGTCAGAGGGACTGATTTGAAGCTCATGGAATATCAGATATTTTCCTATTGAAATGATTTGATCCTATGATATTGATTGTGCATTTACTTCTTGCAGCTGACGGTGAAGGCCCTGCAGGTCTGTCCAGAGTCTGGCCTCGGTGGACCGGAGTGCTGTCTTCGGATCAGCCTGCTGCCTCTACGTCTTAACATCGACCAGGTAACAGCTGCTCCTGAGACTACTGACGCCATGACACCCAGACGTGTCTGAGTAGAACCTGAAATGTTGCTTTTTTGTAGAAAATTAAGTAAATTTCATTTTTACAAGCATTTCAATTCATTCAAGGCTTTATCGTCATCTTCACATTAGCTTCAGTGTAGATATGGCAATGAACAACTTCACAGGCATTTATTATGACATTAGAAAAGCATTGGAGAAAACGTGATCTTAAACTATATACTCTACCAATAAAAGTGTTGATTTTCAGTTGTAACTAATCTACCTGTCGTCGTCGTCGTCCCCCCTGTCCAGGACGCACTGTTTTTCCTGAAGGACTTTTTCAGCAGTCTAGCTTCCTATGTTAACCCTTACCTGCCTGTGGACCCTGCATCCGAAGGTGAGCCTCTTCCTTGCTGCTCACTGCTTATCATCACTGCAGCAATATGTTTTTAACTGTCTGCAGAAAATTTTTTATTGGTTGGATTCTATATGAAATAAGAAATGCTCCAATAAATATGTTTTTTTTTTATATTCCTCACCATTTATTTTTCAGTGAAAGCAGACCCCTCCCAGAAGGCCCCTGAGGAGGCGGAGGCTGGTCTGGGACCTGACCTCTCAGCGTCTGTTGAAACCACCTTCAGCGAGCAGAGCTCCTCCTCTGCCGGCTCCACCTCCTCCTCCGACCAGCCCATCTACTTCCGGTACGTAAACACTATACACCCAAAGGCTCGAAGAAAGTCTGATTCAGTTTTTTTTTTTTAAATAAAGGGGAAAAGGTGGTGTGTTTTAAGAAATAGAGCTTGTTTGTGCGAATCAACAACCTGTTGTCCAAACATCGTTTTTTTTATCCTCTGCGATTTTCAGGGAGTTTCGATTCACCTCTGAAGTGCCTATCTGGCTTGACTATCAAGGCAAACATGTTGTCATTGAACAGGTGAGAGGTCACTCAAACTGCCTTAAAGACATCTTTAGGATTTGTGAGTATTTGATGAGGAAAATAATTGTCCACGCTATCTTTATTTTCTGACCTGCTCTTTGCTTCACAGGGAACGTTTGCAGGAATCCTGATTGGTCTCGCCCAGTTGAACTGCTCTGAGCTGAAGCTGAAGAGGCTCTGCTGCAGACACGGGTACAAATACATACTCCATTGATATACCAAAAACACACCAGACAAAAGCACAATATCTACAGAAACTGCAGACCTTCACAAACATGTAGTTCTCAGCCTGCGTTAGGTCAAAAGTGTATTGCACTGTTATGTCAAAATATTCACAGACTAAAAATTACTCCATAGAAAGGACGGACATTATCAAGCCTTAAATTAGAAATTATTTTAATTATTAATTATTTTAAAATGTATTTAGTTAAGGTATTCTATTTAAAATATGATCAAGTGAAGGACAACCCTGTTACCAAGCTTCCTTTTTATTTTTCTGTATAAATAATTGTTATATTTTGCATCGAGTACAATTTTTTTTAAAGGGGCATATTTAGTTTTAATCTTTCTTCTTCAACCCTTTGTAGTCTCCTCGGTGTGGATAAAGTGATCCAGTACGCCGTCACTGAGTGGCTGACGGACATCAGGAAGAATCAGCTGCCGGGCATTCTGGGAGGAGTGGGTCCCATGCACTCAGTGGTCCAGCTGTGTGAGTCGATACTGCCTCAAACACGCTGCTGTACACAGTGTCAGCTTAACACTTTGTTATCATGTTTTACCTCTTGGTTGATTCTCTTCCATCTCTTTGTGTTCCTCCAGTCCACGGAGTGAGGGATCTGTTCTGGTTGCCCATAGAGCAGTACAGGAAGGACGGGCGTATTATCCGAGGTCTCCAGAGGGGGGCAGCCTCCTTCGGGACGTCCACAGCTTCAGCTGCTTTGGAGCTCAGCAACAGGCTGGTGCAGGCCATACAGGTACTCGCACTGAGAGGAGGTTTAGTGCAGGTCAACAATGGAAACCAGAGTTGCGTTGGTGCTAGATATGAAACATGCAGTTAAAATGGCTTAGAATTTTTATTTTATTTTAGAACAAACATTTTAGTTTTGTTGTGTCTGCTTATTTTAGCTTTAGGTTTTCAAAATGTTGTTTTTATTAGTTTCTTTAGTGCCAGGTGTAATGGGACAAAAGTATGTAGCTACCAAATACATGATTGGAGAACTGTATAGTAATGGCCATAATCAAATTGCTGCTGTTATAACTATAACTAAACTTTTAACCAGGCAGTTTTGTTTGGGTTCAGTTTTTCTTTTGGAATACGCAAGTATTTTATTTCTGTGTGCTTCTCCTACAGGCCACAGCAGAGACGGTGTACGACATCCTGTCTCCCACTCCCCCCCTGAACCGCTTTGCCATCACAGAGGGCCGGGCCCCCTCCAGCCGGCCCCGCAGAGCCGCTCAGCCCGCAGACCTGCGAGAGGGCGTGGCCAAGGCCTACGACACCGTCAGAGAGGTGCGTACCCAAATGTTCCCTTCAAATATGATTATGGAAACTTTTAGAGAACAGAGGATCCAAAAATAAGCAGTCACATGCTCGTCTTTCAGCGTATTCACTTTCTCACTTTCCATTCTATTTAATTATCTTCTTATACAAACAATTCATTTACATAAACAGGGCTAGGGGTTAGAGAAACCAGATTGCTTCAACTAGATTTCTCCTGAAGAAAGAGATTTCTTGGCCAGATACAACCACATTTCTTATCTTTGCATGGATATTTATTTTGAGACATGAGAACTTTTTTCTCATGTTTATGTCAATGTACTGAAACACTAAATATTTTGACTTCTGTCTCGCTGCTCTCCAGGGAGTGATTGACACGGCTCAGACCTTGTGCGATGTAGCATCCCGCGGCCACGAACAGAAGGGTCTGCCCGGCGCTGTGGGTGGCGTCCTGCGGCAGATCCCGCCCACCGTGGTCCGACCTTTAATAGTGGCCTCTGAAGCAACCTCCAATCTGCTCGGTGGCATGAGGAACCAGATCAAACCAGACGCCCGGAAGGAGGACTTCCTGAAGTGGCGCACCGACGGCCAAGAATGATGAAAACTTCTTTGTTTTTCTGTGTGAGAGAGTGTGTGTTTGTGTGTGTTCGAGAATCTGATTTGGGGAGGTTCTAGCTAAGGGAGCGAATCCACGGTTTGAATGCGTATTTGCATGTGTGTATGGACTAATGAGAGTCAGTGTTCGCTCTAATGCAAAAACCAAGCAACGACTAACAACTACTGCTGTTACCAGTGTTTCATTTGGCTCCATCTTACATGGACTCACCAGATATAAACAATTCGTTTTGTAAGAGCTATCCTCATGTTCCTCTGTTATACACAGGTCAGTAGATTCTCCTACTGTCTGTGAAAACATATCACCGTCACTCAACTGGTTTCATTTTTAATCAACACTCTCAAGGTTTGCTTGTTCATAAGTAAGACACAGATTGTGGGCACATCATGTACTTTGAACTGTGCTGTTGAAACTGTTTGTATTTTAAATGAAATAAGTGATTTCTGGCACGATTTCTCTTTCTTCCATTATCTAGTATAAGTTGGAGGAAGAAGTTGAACTTATGCCGGGAATCACTTTTTATTATAATTCACCACTGACTAGCTGAGAACAGTTTACTTTATTTTGATGTGTTGAGCTGGCACATGATGTAACCCGCCCTTTGGTCTACTTGTTGTCCAGTGATTCTCATAGTGGAGATTGTGTGACATCCTAATGAAGTGTCCTTTGCTAACACCCTCCAGATGTCTGCAGATGCTTTTCCCTCTGACTTATACCACATCATTTGTTCAGCTTTGGCCCCACTGCTTCTCTCAGTGTTGTTAATTGTGCCATAAAGCTTGCAGTGCCCTTTTTAACTAGTTTGTGTTGCCTTCCCAAAACCTGCACCCTCCCTGCTACGATTTGCGTACAACACACACTGGCTCACATGGACACATACCTGACTGAGAACATGTTTCCCGACTGAACAGAGATACAGATCACATGAAGCCTCTAAACTCTGTAGCACATTAAACTAATTTAAAGCTTTTCAAAGTAAAGTTTCAGCTCTCTGTAACTCGCAGTCCAGATGTCAGCCAGTGGTTCTTCCTTCTGCCTTGCAGCTCATTTGTGCTTCTTGTTTCCATTATTTAATGGAATTTAAAAACTGGTGTCTGGATTAACCAACTCTTCAGCGTTGCTTCACCCTCTCCTTTAATTGCCTTCCTGCATTTTTTATGTTTCTTTTTCTTTTTTTTTTTTATTCTGTTAAAGCATAAAGTATTGTCATACTCGTTTTTAAAACAAGAGTTAAAAGGATGTGAATCTGGTGACGATTGAGGATACAAGAAATTGGGGGTTTTGTGGTTTCAGAAAGTTTTACATTTTTATCTTTTTTGTTTATTCAGTGTAAGGGATAGGTGTCCCTGTTTGAGTGTGTTGGTGTGTGTGTGTGTGTCAGTGGGTGAGAATGAGTGTGTGTTTGTGTGCGCGCATTATGCACGTCTGTGAAGGTGACAGGTTGATGCTTGTTACACCTCTTGTGTGTAATTACTATTTACGATATCATAAACGGTATGAATGACCTGTATAATACAAAGATGAGGAGTATACAAAATTAATACAAAAAAATAAAAAATTTGAGTATAAAAAAGGAACGCCATCTTTGTCTGACATTTTTGCTGATCTAACTTGAGGAAACAATTGTAATAATAGTTTGCCCGTGATAATTGTAAATATTACCAAAGAAAAAAAGGAATACATTTAAGGGTGCAGGTTTCTCATTTGGTTTTTCATCCAGGGCCCCTTATGAAATAGAGAATATACCAGCGCCATATAGATAGAGGAATATACCAAGGACCCCCTCATTTATGTTTCTCAAAAATAATTTTACATAGCCTATTTTTTACACAAGAGAAATGTACTGATATATTAAAGACAAGAGACGAATATTAAAAATGCAGCATCTAAATATAAAGCAACTGAAATGTGCAGTTCATGCATTAATGGTAAGGAAGTCAAATAGTTCATTCAAAATATGAAAGGCAAATCAGGAGAATTTGAAGTATAGTGTCTTGCGTATTGGGGATGGCTAAATAAAAACGGATACTGGTTATGGTAGAATGTAAACAATATCTTGTCTTAGAATGCGATCTATGAGCATTTTTTGATAATTTTGTAATATTATTCTATGATCATTTAATTTAACAACTTCCTAAATCAATGCAAAAAGGTTTTAGTACAAAAAAGAAATCTATATACCTGCCACAACGAGGAACTAACGGTAGGGGAGCTCGGGGAAGGTTTTCAGCGATGCACCAGTGGAACTTCCGGTCCGCATGTAAACCAAGCAGCGTGATTATTCTAAACGTAGTCGATAGACTTCAGTGCCCATTTACCTGAAAACATACATTTGAATCGGTGACAGCTGTTTGTGAACATGAAGCTACTCACGCACAACATGTTGACATCTCACGTGAAGGGAGTCACTAAAGGATACCCGCTGCTCATCAAGGTAAACCGACAGTTAGCTAAGTTGCTAATGCTAACACTACTGACTGAACGCATCACAGTCTAATGATGCCCTGTTGTGTTTATGATTTAACGTTAACGCTCCTGATACTTTGTCATTAAACATGTGGTAGCTGTTTGTTTGATTATTTTTAATTGTGACGTTTAATAATAAGCCAAATAGAGGTAGCTTAATAATATAAACGGAACTTCTCTATTAACAAATGTTAACAGAAGCAACAACCAAATAAAATAACAACAACCCCCGACACTTTTTGCTTTATAAGTCCTTTATATATATCTCAGCCATTTAGTTTGAGTTTCTAAACTTTCATTGTAAAACATGAATTATACTGCCCTCAAAAACACCCATAATGTCAACTTTTTTTAAAGCCACTGCTTCAAATGTGTAAATTACACATGTGACAATAAGATGTACCTGTTTTACATTTAAGGAATATAACGTATGGGAAATCTCAATTAACCGGCCCTGTAGAGTAATCTATCAGGGTTGTGTGTGTGTGTGTGTGTGTGTGTGTGTGTGTGTGTGTGTGTGTGTGTGTGTGTGTGTGTGTGTGTGTGTGTCCACGTCCACACTTATAATGTGTTGTTTCTCCTTTTGATGTCTCCTTTGTGCAGGCTACAGAGGTGAAGGTGAATGAGGTGGATTTCAACCCTCAGTTTGTCAGCCGGATGATCCCCAAGCTGGAGTGGAGCGCTCTGGTTCAGGCTGCAGACGAGGTGTGCCAGACTCCCATTATTTTTAATATCTCTCAGATACATTTAAAACATGAATACCCGAGTGCACTCCAGAGAGACAAAGAAAGGGCTTAAAAGCTGCTAAGTATCTCTCTCTTTAAGAAAATACATTATTTGAAAAGTCCATCAAATCAAAAACCAACAAAAAAACCTATTGTGTAATATTCAGATTCCTCACTGATTTAGGTACACACACATATCAATCAGTATAGAAAAAAGCAAATAAAATGCTGGACTGTGTCAACAGCAGTGGTCCAGGGGATTGATGAAGATGAAGGAAGGGTTAAAAAAGTATACCAGAGTGTTGAATATAGTGTCAATGTTTTGATTTTGTTTGTGGTTTGTTAACCAGTAAGTGGAGTATATGTAATGGTGTCTTTTGCCACCCATTAGCATCCACTAATTTATTTACCACTGACTGGTTGTAACGGCCCGTCTACACTACAGGCATCAAAAAATCTTGAAGCTGGGTGTGTCTGAGGCTTGGCGATTTCTCGCGACCAACAACCAATCAGGAATCTCCCGCCCGCCCCCGGCATACAAAGCAAAAAAAAGCCAGCTTCTTCAACGAAGTAAACTGGATATAAACTCCCCAAACAGTTGAAAACCTACCAATTTCACCAACTGACTCTGCCACCTCCCGCCATGCCTGGTTCCTCCGGTTTAGGTCCCGGTAGGTGAACAGAGTACAGTCATACAGGACTGGGACACTTGCCACGGCAATGATTAATTTATCCTCCATTTTATGACATATGGAAAATAGTCAAGACCTGCGGTATCAGCATACACGCGGTTTGATTGGCTAGTGCTTGTACTGGCGGGAATTGCATAAACGGGATTTGATTGGCTGATGCCAAGCATCGAGCCTCAAAAGTTGAACATTGTTCAACTTTTGATGCCGATAGATGCTCGTGATGCTTGCAAAGCCATGCCATGCTCCCCACAATGCAGTTCGGCGAAGATTAAAAATCTTCTACGTCACCCCATTCAAGTGAATGGGCGAAGCGTTGAAAGCCATTTTTCGATGCCTGTAGTGTAGACGGGCCGTAACAGGAAAGAGA